GCCACTGATACGCAGTACATAATATGAGCAGTGCAGTCAAAATGTTTTGAAGTATTTGATTATGTATTTATTTATGTATTGCTTTGATTGCAAGGAGAAAAGCAAAGAAGTATAGACTGAGGGGTGTTAGGTGGTCTTATGAGATTATGAAACACTTCTGAGACCTGAGAAGAGTATCTAGACGATATGTTTGGATATGTCTTTAATGTCACTTTGTGTAGGGTCACAAATTGACTTTATATGAACATAATGCAAATTCTAGAACTTTAACCACACATTGAAATACAGCTACTTCAACTGCTTACTTGTTTCGTTTGGTGCTGGCAATCCAAACAACATTTAAAATCACGTTCATTGCAGACTAACAGGCTGTCACATTCTAAAGTGGTGGAAATTAATCCATCATTGAAATGCAGAAATCCCTGATGGAAAGGAATAAACTTAAGGTAAACGTAAGAGTTAAACTCATGTTACATCTGTAACTCAGATTAGCAATTAGCATGGTGGTAGGAAACTCAATAGCATTAAAACTTCCTGTTTGTTGCTCACTGAAATGAATTCCACCTTCATCACAGAGAAAACACAGAAGACGTTCTCTGCCACCATGAATGCTATGAATGCTTTTCTCATGCTTTCCTTTTCCCTGTTTATTCAGTTCATATGCAAAGGTGAGTCTTTTTTGTGTGGCCTTATAACTGATTCTGTATTATAAAACTAGTATTTTAAATAACAGAATCAATGACCATTGTTATGCTAATAGTCTCTATGAAAAGAAGATTTGATTTGTGAGTTGTTGTTTTTTGCAGTGGATGGAGCCATGGCGCTGCAACAGAAAATCTCACTGACCAAAGCAGAGGAAAAGTTAGCCATTATAGACTGTCATTTACACACGCTGCTGGGACTACATCCACTGGTATCAGCAAAAAGATCGAGAAACCTTAAAGAGAATTCTGTATGCTGACATTAATGATGGATCCGCCAAAAATGATGTTGGTTTTGAATCCATAAAATCAGAAAAAAAAGCATCAAATCATTTTGTTTTGAAAATCACCAAACTGAAAAAAGAGCATTCAGCGTTGTATTACTGTGCTTGTTGGGTCTCAGGCAGCACAGTGAGCCAAAAAAACTGAAGCCCCGCACAAAAAAACACCCAATCCTTCCTCCAAAGATAAAAACTCGTGACAAAATAAGGGTTAACTGGAGTTCTGTCTTCTGTGCAACAGAAAGAGAGTGTACACAACTTTTCAAAAAGTATATTTTTCAAGTTAAAAATATCATGCATTTTATAATCTAAATATAATTATCAATTATAAGTTTTTTTATGCTTGTTCTATTTGAGCTGAACTAACTATGCCTTTTTTTCATATGGTCAAAAATATAATATTAAAAAAGAAAGGAAAAAACTTACTGACCTTACCAAAGAGAGAACCAAAAATAGTGTGAACCTGTATCACATTTATATCATAAACCTCAAAGTCAAATTCAGATTAGTATTAGGACAGGAAACTTCCTGTTTGCTGCTCATAGACATTAATTCCACCTTCATCCACGATAAAAGACAGAAGCTCATTAGTCTTGTATCTGCCATGATGAGTCCTCAGCTACAATTATCCTTTTTGCTCTTTATTCTCCTTGTATGTAAAGGTGAGCATTTCAATGTGTGACCATTTTACCTTCATATAATTATCATTCTATGGTACCATAAATGCTTTTTAAAAAAAATAGGAAATCTTAGCGTAGCCAGTGTTCTTGTTTTATCAATATATGTGTGAAAATGTGTTTGTTTTTTTGCAGTGGATGGAGCTGTGGAGCTGCAACAGGAAATCTCACTGACCAAAGCAGAGGAAAAGTTAGCCATTATAGACTGTCATTTACACATAAGCTGCTGGGACTACATCCACTGGTATCAGCAAAAAGATCGAGAAACCTTAAAGAGAATTCTGTATGCTGACATTAATGATGGATCTGCCAAAAATAATGTTGGTTTTGAATCCATAAAATCAGAAAAGAAAGCATCAAATCATTTTGTTTTGAAAATCACCAAGCTGAAAAAAGAGCATTCAGCGATGTATTACTGTGCTTGTTGGGTCTGGAGCTCAGTCAGCACAGTAAATATAAAGACTGAAGCTTTGCACAAAAACTGCAGGGTTCCTGTCTTTATCAGAAACCACAAAATTGTCTCTAAACTTTATATAAATATACTACTGTAGCTCAAACAGTAGAGCATGGTGCTAATAACACCAATGAGTTTGATTCAGGGAATACATGAAATGATCAAATGTATGAATGCAATGTAAGCTGTGACTGCCAAATGCATAAATGTAAATGTTTACATTACATGGGAATTTCACTTTTATTTTTTCCAGAAATAAACAACGTAACCAGATTCCGCTTACTGTTCTTGAAAAACGGCTCTGAGCCTGAGCTGCCATCCTTCATGAACCTCAATACAAACTCAGATTAACATAAGGACGGGAAACAGCCTCCCATTTGTTACCCATATGCAGTTGATAACAAAATATATTATGATAGTTTTAAAGTGCTATTAGATGAAAAACTGTATAATTTGCAAGTGCAAAGGGTAATAGACAAAAATCAACTGATACTGAATATGAAAACCTGAAAAGAGAAATTGGGTTCCGATGCCGTTCGCTGACATAAATCTACATTTTTTTATGTTTTTGAAAGAAGTCTCTTATGCTCTCCAAGGCTGCATTTATTTGATCAAAAATAAAGTAAAAACAGTATTTCTGTGAAGAAAAATGGTACAAAATAAACAACGTAACCAGATTCCGCTTACTGTTCTTGAAAAACGGCTCTGAGCCTGAGCTGCCATCCTTCATGAACCTCAATACAAACTCAGATTAGCATAAGGACGGGAAACAGCCTCCCATTTGTTACCCATATGCAGTTGATATCAAAATATATTATGATAGTTTTAAAGTGCTATTAGATGAAAAAATGTATAATTTGCAAGTGCAAAGGGTAATAGACAAAAATCAACTGATACTGAATATGAAAACCTGAAAAGAGAAATTGGGTTCTGATGCCGTTCTGTTCACAAATAGGGTTCACTGTCCCTATGCCATCTAAGCTGCTCAAAGCTCATTTTCTTTTTTTTTTCAGAGAAAGTGCCACATTGTGTACAAGGAAGTCAGATCTATTACCAATCGTTTTGTTTGCAAGTAGCATATTAGGTTTTTGGACAAGACTTTATGTATGCTGACATAAATCTACATTGTTTTAAAACAGTATTTCTGTGAAGAAAAATGGTACAAAAGCTGTCACTGGAGTGGTACTTTTTCAAAAGTTACACCTTTGTACCTAAAGGGTCCATGATATACATAAGGACGGGAAACAGCCTCCCATTTGTTACCCATATGCAGTTGATAACAAAATATATTATGATAGTTTTAAAGTGCTATTAGATGAAAAACTGTATAATTTGCAAGTGCAAAGGGTAATAGACAAAAATCAACTGATACTGAATATGAAAACCTGAAAAGAGAAATTGGGTTCCGATGCCGTTCGCTGACATAAATCTACATTTTTTTATGTTTTTGAAAGAAGTCTCTTATGCTCTCCAAGGCTGCATTTATTTGATCAAAAATAAAGTAAAAACAGTATTTCTGTGAAGAAAAATGGTACAAAAGCTGTCACTGGAGTGGTACTTTTTCAAAAGTTACACCTTTGTACCTAAAGGGTCCATATTGGTACACCTGATTAGTCCCTAACACCCCAGTGACAACTTTTGTACCTTTATTTTTGAGAGTGCGATTTAAAATAACTCTTTTCTATATTAATCTGTTTCAAAATGTAATTTATTCCTGTTTTGTCAAAGCTGAATTTTCAGCAGTCATTACTGAAGTCTTCGGTGTCACATGATCCTTCAGAAATCATTCTAATATACCGATTTGCTGCACAATAAACATTTCTTATTATTTTCAGTATTATTTTCCGTGAAATGTCCATTAGAAACATTTCTGAAGTATCACGTGACACTGCGGTAATGGCTGCTGAAAATTAAGCTTTGCCATCACAGGAAAAAATGACAGTTTAAAATAGAAAACAGTTATTTTAAGTTGTTAAAACATTTCAAAATGTTACTAATTTTACTGTATTTTTGATCAGTTAAGTCTTGGCAAAGCATAAGAGACTACTTTCAAAAACATTAAAACCGCCTATGCTAATTTTATATATGTGTAATACTAAAGCACAGAGTAGATGCTGTAGAATCTGTCACATTTGAATCATGAACCACAAAACAAACTCAGATTAACATGAAGGCCGGAAACTTAATATCATAAACCTCCCATATGACCTCCCCTCATCCCAGAATGAAGACAGAAGCTCTCCAGACACTCTCTGCCATCATGAGTCTTCAAATGCAGTTATATTTTTTGTTTCTCATTTACCTTTTATGTAAAGGTGAGTCTTCTCATTTTGAAGTTTTCAATATACCATTATTTTCTCTGTTATAATTTTCAAGTTATACACATTAACATGATATTTATATCAGCTATTATATCTTACCTAGGGCAACATACTGTTTTTAAGTCAAGTCTGATTGTTATTTATTTTATTTTTTTTGCAGTGGATGGAAATGTGAAAATGCAACAGAAAATCTCATTGACCAAATCTGTGGAAAAGACAGTTGTTATAGACTGTAATTTTCCATCAGACTGCATTGGCTACATTCACTGGTATCAACTAAAAGAGGGACAAACCTTAAGAAGAATATTATATTCATCAATTTCAGGTGGAGCCACAAACAATGATGCTGGTTTTGAATCATTTAAAATAGATAGGAAACCGTCAAATTTGGCTCTGAAAATACCTGAACTGAAAAAAGAGCATTCAGCGGTGTATTACTGTGCCTGCTGGGTCTCAGGCGGCACAGTAGTAATAAATATTAACACACTGTACAAAAACTCAGCAGGCTGCTTTAATCTGAAACCACAAGCCACAAGTTTTTATGATATAAAAGCCATCTGCTAAACACTGAATCAATGAATTTCATGCACTATAAATAGTGTTTGCTGATCCTGAACACTTGGGAAAAGAAGGACAAGGTTTAAAAGGGCAAGGAATGACATTTTAAATGATGAAGGACAAATGTGCTGATGAATAATAAGAAACTGTAAGCTGTAGCATTTAAGGAATCAACAGAATTGAACTAGCTGCTCAGATAAGCAGACAAAAGGCCTTCACTTGAAATCATTTTTAAATTAACTGATTAATATTAATTTTTTACTAAAAGTTTAGTGGGTCCCCTTAGCCACAGCCCACCGTGTTCCCACTGTGGAGTCAAATCCCAGCTTGTTGTCCGGCCATGAGTCTGTTGGAAGACTTGTAAATAAACTATTGCAGTCCCTACTGGTAACAGAGTGATATGGCACACAGTTATTGCTGGATCTGCTCAATGCAGAAGTAATTTAAAAGTGTTTTAGCACCTCAGTGACCAAAATCAAGATTAATATTCATTTTTTTCTTTCTTAGCCAATATTAAAAACTCTACAGGGATTTTCTACAACATGAAGCAACAGCAGATGCTCTTTTGCACAAGCTGAACCTTTTTGTTCAAGAACAAATGACTGTGGGTTACAAGAAAGTCTTTGGTTCGGGTACAAGACTTTATGTGACAGGTAAGAAAAAATTCATATAATTAAGGTCTTCTAGGCAGATTTTAAGCATTGTAAACTTAATTTCAAACCAATTACTTGTGTAATTCAGCTGGAGACAGAGAGAAGAATAGCTAGAATAGCAATTCCACACTGCTTAACTAGTGTGCTTGTTTGCGTAAAAAAGGAGAAAATATGTTAAAGTCATAGTTCACTCAAAATGAAAAGTCTGTCATCATTTACTCCCCCTCATATCATTCTAAACATGTATGACTTTCTTCTGTGGAACATTGTTTTGCCCATACAATGAAAATAAAAAGGGGTTCAGTGTTGTGGAGCCCATTGACTTTCATTGTACAAACAAAAACAGTAGAAACATTCTTCAAAATATCTTTTGCATTATATAGAAAAATAAAGTCATGGATTTTGAATGGCATGACGGTGACAGTGACATTATTTTCATTTTTGTGTGAACTATACCTTTAAAATAGTGTAGACCATCAGGAACAATGGTCTAAATCAATTATATACCAGGCTAGAAGGTTTTGGATAGTTCAGAAGTATTTGTAATAGACTTAATCTGAGTGGGCTACTGGATCAAAAGATTTGGATCTGGAACTCGGCTGATTGTAACCGGTAGGAAACAGTGTCAGAATTTCTTCAAATGCATAAAATTATATAATTTTTAAGTAAAAACTTTGCCAGTCATCCTTTTTTTTTGTTGTTGTTGCTTATTTGCTCACTGATGACTGAAGCTATGTTCAACGTGTTTCTCTCAAGGTTCACAGGTTAAGTCACCAAAGTTGTATGGATACCTACCGTCAAAAAAATACATTGACAAACATGACAAACAGACAATGTTATGCCAGGCAAGTGGCATGTTTCCTGACTTGGTGAAATTCACATGGAAAAAAAAGAGCGAAACAGGAGACTGGACGGATGTACCAGAGGAAAATGTTGTGGAACAGAATAACAAAAATGCAGTCACTGTGACAAGTATGATGATTATAGATAAAAACACGGCCGAAAACAACGACTACCAATGCATTGTTGCCCATGAGGGAAACACTGATAAACCCCAAACTCTTGAAATGAAGAGAGGTAATTTGAAGAAACTTTGATTTACTACAAATTCCATGGAAATAAAGTTGAATACAACTGATACGGTTTTAGACACAGAGAGCTTGGATTATAAATGATTATTTCTTATTATATATGAAAACCTCATTAAAACCTTAATTAAATCAAAGAATTAATTAGAATTAAAAGTATGTTTTTATTTGAGTTAAACATTACAGTGTTAACATATGGATGAAACTGTAAAATTGTATGACATTCAGAAATACATGTGTGTGTGTGCGTATTTAATTTTTGTGACTGTATTGTTATATTTTAGAAGACAGTAACCCATCAAAAGAATCTAAAGTTGATCAGAACCCACCAACATGTGCACCCAGCACTGAGGAGACCATAAAAAAGCAAATATCAGGTGAATAAATGAAAAATTAATAGATAACTATATATACATTTGGATGGATTTTTTTTTTTTTACTATTTTTGTATTTCAAAATCTTATTTCCAAGCCAAAATGTAAACATTTAAATTATATTTTTGAGAGTGTGATCATTTGTACATTTTCTTTTTATGTTTCAGAAAGTCATTTAACCGACTGTTATGATTATTATAGAGTCACTGAACTATTCTGATCTAACTGATCCTATTTGTCTTAATACTTTTATTCACACTGTACCTTAATGGACCAAAAAGAAAAGAAAAAAAACGTACATTGTCAAAACATTCCTGCTAAAACACCCATCTGTGGGACGCCTAAGTTTACTTCACTATATTACAATTAAATCCTAATCTAATCATGACAAACTATATATCGTTGGAAAGGTCTAAGGCTCCTAAATAGTTATTTTACCAATGTTTTTGTTAAAAATTATGTAGGAAAAGTAATAGATTACTTTTTGACAAGAATGCACCTCAAAAATCTACATCATAACAGGAGTTCTGCTCTTAATAATTTTTGACAAGAGTGCACCTCAAAAATCTACATATACAGGAGTTCTGACCTTTGTCAAAAAAAGTCTTCTTTGTTGCCTTTTTCTCTGTCGCACTTTAGAAATCATCAGAAATGATATATCAATTGAAAACTTTAAATCTCAAAATTCATCCTTCGAAACCCATTTTAAAATCAAACATTGCATTACCATGAAAATGGTACATCAATATCATGTTACAAAATGTTTTCGTTCATGAATTATAAAAATTTAAGTTTGGTTCTATGTTCAAAAATGTGAGTGACAGTTAAGGGGTTAATTCACATGTATTGTTACCTAAGATCCTGATGTTGATCGAAAACATAATTTATGCAGATATGTTATGCGTGGTACCTATATATAGTATGAATAAAATTATTAACATGTAAATGTTTTTCATAAAAGCATTTAACTTTTGTTTTGTTTTTTTACAGGAGATTCAGAGCAAATACCCAGTATGTTCCTGTTTGTCTACGCATATGGTGTCATGCTCATGAAGAACGGAATATATTTTTGTGCTGTGTCTATCTTTCTATTAAAGCGAAAAGCTGGAAGAAAGAAAGACGAAAGCTCTTAGAGATTTAATGCTAAGATAAGATAAATATCAAGCAAGCAAAGGTTTATTATATTTCGCTGACTAAAGCATAGATGCATATCTATATATTATCTCTGCTTAACCGTATTGCTTTTAAATTCGTTGTAGATCTGCTTTGCAACATTTATTTTTGTATCTTTGAAATGCAATATTTAGATTTTTAAAAATGTGTAATGTACCCAAATTTAAAATGTGTTTTGTTTTCCCATTGTATTCAGTTTTTTTTTGCATTCTCAGAATAAAATCTGCTCATAAAATAAATGAAATGTTATTTTTAGATGTGTAATAAAAGGAATTCTCTATAAATGCACTTTTTCAATTCTGAAAAATGAAACTCTTTTAATAAATCATGCTTGTGTGAGGTTATCTTAAAAATACAAATGAAATGATCATATAAAAAGATGATTGCCTTTATGCATTTTATCCTAGACATTATCAATAAATCAAAATACCAATAAAATACGGTATGTATCAGATAGGAATTTAATTCGGTGCCAATAATTCATATCAACATCATAAAAATACTATAATAATAATAATAATAAACTTGACTATTAATGTCTGCTAAATTACTGCCGAAAATGTACAATTTTCCGGTAACACTTTACAATGTTTCATTAGTTAACAGTAGTTAACTGTATTAGTTAACATGAACTAAGCATGAACAATACTTCGACAGCATTTATTTGATCTTAGTTCATGTTAATTTGAACATTTACTAATACATTATTAAAATCAAGTTTTATTTGTTAACATTAGTTAATGCACTGTGAATTAACATGAACTAACAATGAATAACTGTATTTTCATTAACTAACATTAACAAAGATGAATAAATACTGTAACAAATGTATTGTTCATTGTTAGTTAATATATTAAACTAATGGAACCTTATTGTAAAGTGTTACCAATTTTTCTATTTAAAATTTACTAAAACTGAATAACACTTTACGTCTTTATATGGTTTACTACGCTACAAAAGAGCATTTCTTGTATCTGTTCAAAACATTAATTACGTTTAAAGATCCAAACCCTTGACATGAATGTGAAAACATCACGATGGTGATTGAAACTGCTGCGGTAGGAAAATGTGGTTGGGTATGTACACACCACAGGCGGAGGCGCTTACTGGAAAGAAAACATGCAGCCGTTTAACCTCAGTATGATTGGCTGATCATTTATTAGCGGCTGCAGGGTGTTTGTCTTGTTAATCTAAGCTGTTATTTGTGGGCGAGGAGGTTGCACTATCCGTGAGAGCACAAACTGACTCTCAGCTGGGGCTTCCGCTCCCCTCGCTTTCAGGCTGTAGAAACGCATGCATAAAGACTCACATTTAATAAAAGCAGTAATTGTTTTAATGCATAACGAAAGAAGAATACAATCTGCCATCATCCTGCATACTTGAGGCTTTGTGATAGGTACATACTGTATGGAGATTCTCAAATTAATTTAAGAAAACCGGAGGTCCCAGACCTGCACCAGGCACATAAGCCCTTATTAAGTAAGCATGGCACAAGTAAACTCAACAGGAAGTAGATTTCACTTACTTAAATAAGATGATTTAGGAATGCTTCCTGAAGTGGAGCCAAAAAAACATAAATCCATGCATCATCACAAGTCATATATTTCTTCATTTAAGTGCATTTCATGCAAAACTAGGCAAGTCCTTTATTTTACAAGTAAATCAAGCCTATATCATCTCTCTGTTCATTCCAAAAACTCACAGACTGGCAGAAAACGCATTAAAAAAATAAAACAGATGGGAAAAACATGAAATCTTCACAGTGCAGACCTGAGACTATACTGCTATTCACATTTAGGTCCTCTCCAGTGATGTATGTGAGATCAGAGTTAATACACATATGGAGCTTATAGCATAAACGTGAGACGGCAGTCGTTTTGTTACACAGAAGCAGTTGAAGAGTGTCATGTGAAAACAAGCTAAATGTCGTGTTCAACAGTGATATCATTTGATGGTTAAGTTCAAAATACACATTAAAATCCTTCATTTTTTCAATCCATACTGCATAAACCATAGGTTTTGTTTTTTTGTTCAGTGGAAAAAAAATTAAGACACACAAAAAATCGATTGCACTAAGAGCTTGTGTGGGCAGATAGAGACAGATAAACAAACTGCTGATCATGGTGATAGTAGATCTAAGGCAGAGCGACTGTCTAGTTCTGGTCACCCATGTACAAAAACCCATATTAAGACACACGGCGCGAGGTCGAGCAGCGCTGGAAGAGTTGTACTCTGAAAGTCAGTGTTTAATCTGAGCTCCTAATAAAAAAGCAAAATAACAACCTATTATTTACATTATTTAGATTAGATCAACTGAGGAAGAAAAACATTTGATAAAATAACTATTCATATTAATATTATTAATATTAATACCTGCTAGACGATGGGCTTCTCAAGATCATGTTTATCATCAAGGTCTTCATCGGAGTCTACAGAAGCAAAAGATCATATTAGTGTGATTAACATCAATGTTCGCATCAGAACATGGCTGTTGTTTGCACACAACAAACAAGCCGAAAAAAAAACACCAGTGAAGATGTTTATATAAATGCACAAGGTATGTAATATTCATAAAAATATTCAAGCTTTCAATTTTTTCCTATTAATAAAGTACACATAAATCTGTTGTTTGTGATGCTTTTCTAAGCAACAACTGAAAAACTGAAATAATATTGAAAAATGAATATATATATAAACGTTGAGTAAGTATTCATTCTATTTAAAAGCTCTGTTTACTAAGATGAACATCTTTCTGAAAAAAAAAAAATCAGCACAGTAAAGTGATCTTTTTTTAGCATGTGAATCTAAAGCATACAAAGGCATAGAGTGATGCAAAAGACATGTGCGATTGTTTAAAACGAATGCATAAAATATAAAAGGGACACATAGTGTAGCAATGTCAAAAAGAGTTTAGTTGCCCACAACGGACTGGACACCGCTGATTCAATTATCAAGAAGAGCAAAGAAAGAATAGAGAAGCACAAACAAAACAAAACAAAATTTTAAAAAAAGCTGTTAAACTAGAAATACTGTAAATGAGAAAATCTAGAGATCTACTGAAGATTTTTTCAGGATTCTTTAATGATTTAATGATTTTGTTTGGAAGATTATAAATGTCTTTACTGTCACTTTTGATCAGTTTAATGCATCCTTGCTAAA